TATTCTGTTGCCTTACTGACCTTTTTCTTTTCCAGGAACTTGAGCGCAGTTGATATATTGCTGATCTGCTGGAGACGCATCCGACTTTTCTTCTCATAACGCTGAAATACAGATTCCAATATAATACACTGAACCATATATTACTGATCTGAATGACTCTCAAGAAATGAACGTGGTCATGGTAAAATGTAAATGGACGGGAATGTCTCAGACTTCATTGAAGTATTATGGCTCAACCCTAAGACAATTTATAATATGTTGAGTTTTACCCTTTTTAAAATTTAATGAACATTTTAGTTTTTTACTTACTATTGGTTCTCCAGAGAGGACTTCCAGAAGTTGACAAAGTTTAATCCCATCTTTTATGTCCTCAAACAGATCATTTATGATCTCTGGTGGATTACGCTGTAAATAAAGAAATCAAATAATATTTAACAATATTAATTTGCGATTATGTAACTTTGTATCATTATACATCATATATTTAGATTCTCTGTTTCAAGTTGTATTTATTCACAATATTAGTATCCAAGGGATAAAGATCCCTCTATAACAGGTAGTTCACTTATTTATTGTAAAATCTTGGTAACAGCACGGCCTCTTGAGTCAAAAGTGAACCCCCCTTGGCAAATCCTGGCTACAGGCCTGGGCCTCTTAGCACAATTTATACACATATACTAGGTGGCTTCAATGAAAGAATTCAATCTCTCTCATATACTCCATCCTTGGTTCAAGCGAATTTAACTTGTTTCTGAGTTGAACGAGCGATGAAGCCTTTTGATGAAGGATGTGATATATCCATTGCAATGTGATCCTAAATTTTATGTTTTTCTAGTGTCTTTACAAAGAACTCCATATGAATGTTAAAATCATCATGTACATGTATGTTTAAGCTAATTATAAAAGAAAATTTGAACAGATCACTTAATCTGTTTTCTCACCTTTTGGTAAAATCCAATTAATGATGTGTGTATACTAATATTCATGATTACATACTTTTTATGATCACTCTCTTGAAAATAGGATTAAATATTAAATATTAAATGAACTTACTGTCGTTAAGTACGAGTTGATCCAATTTGTGAATGTCTTTTTCTGTACTCTTTCTTGTTCATCTGCAAATATAACAACAATGTCATTAGGATATGGTGCATTAATAAAGTTGGTGTTATCACATGCTTAAACATAGAAATTATAATAGAAATAATCATATAATAAAATAAACATAAATAAAAAAACTGTTCTGCTTAAACATGTATATTGTCTTTTAATAATGAAGAAATTATACAAAGTATTTGCATTATATCACATATTTGCATTTTATTTACATAATCACTGTAAAAAACCAGTATCCTATGTCAATGTTGAAAATGACAAAATGTTCAATGAAGTAACATCTTTTTATGCAGCATTGGTTCTCATACTCTTACATTAATGTTAACTATAAATGTACTTGACATACCAGGGATGTGTCCCAAATAAACAGAGCTATGATTCTACACCATGATCTCAACTTCACTTGTCAAAATCTCATTTGCTATTTGGCAAATAATTTCTTAGCAAATATACTTGCATACAACCATAACTTAACACACACTTGCTTAATCCAAAATAAATAAACAGAAAATATGAAAACAAGGCTGTCCTCATATTATGGGATTTAACACTTATTCAGAGTGTCTTAATAAAATCAATTTAATAAAATTATTAATTATTTATTTGTAATTCAGTATAACGCTAAGCCCTTTAATATACCCAGTCAACTAGTTTATATAGTAGCAATGGTTCAACAGAACAAAAATTTTAATTATAATTGGCAGAAGTAATAAACAAGATATGTATACTATGTATGGATTTATATTAAGGTAGGTGGAGTATGATTAGTAACTTGGTTCATTAGCTTTAACCTTTTACTGACAGACAATCCATTTTGCCCACCTTAATATAGCCTAACAGAACTGAACCTTTCTGTGATAACACTATCAAAATATGTGCTAGACAATAACTAATATTGGATTTGTTAGTGAAAACCAATGTTGTCATATCTTTGCACTAATATGTGGCAG